GCATGAGAATGTTGTTACTTCATGTTAGATAAATACATATGCTAAATTAATATTGATTGGTGCTAAATTAAATGCTATATAAAGACATATACCATAAGCTTCTGAAACTTTTGATGGATGTCACCGAGTTTCATTCATAAGGATAATATCCTTTTATAGCGAACCTATTTTAATATTTCAATAGTGGTAGTATATTATAGTTATATAGTAGTATATGATAACGTTATCTAAATATGTAACATATCGTTCAAATAAATTTAATATCTATTGTATTATATCTACATAATATTTATGTCTATTTTCTATAGTATTATGCAGCAAATTATATTTTATCTTTGCATACACATCTAGTATGAGAATATATTAGTATTGGATTAGATTATAATATTTTACTCTAGTAAAAAAGACAATATTCATAAATATTAATTATTAAAACGAATTAATATTAAATTTAATAGTAAAATGTTAGTGAAAACAATGAAAGGTTTAATATTTAATAGTAAAATTTTAATGAAAACAATGAAAGTTTTAAAACTAATATTTAATGACAGATGAGGGCCTTTTGGTGATTATGAATGAAACTCGGAGGACATTTTGGGAAAAAATATTTTAAAAAAGTATTAGATTAGTTAGTTAATTGGAGATAATTAGTATAATTAAGAAATATAAAAAAATTAAGAGGGAAAAAGGGAAATTTAAAAGTTTTATACATCGCCGCAATCCAATATTATATAATTATAATTATATATATATATATATACTATATATATTTAGTATATATATAATATATATATATATTATATATATATATATATATAGTATGTGTGTTATATATATATATATATATATATAATATATATATATATATATATATATATATATATATAATATATATATATATATATATATATATATATATATATGTGTGTGTGTGTGTGTGTGTGTGGTTGTGGATGTGGATGTAGCAAACCAAAGCATATTACATAGTATTTTTGGAGTGTTTCGGCCTTTGACTTGATTATTAGATTCTGTCGAACAAGTCATATCCGAGCTCGTATCCATCTTTGAGGTGTGAATAAATGGAGATAGGGATTAGGATTTGATTGAATATAGAGAGGATTAAGATTAAGGGTGGATTAACTGGATAAAGTTTATCGTAGCTTTTTATATGTTAGTATTAAGTCACTATTATATTAAATATCCAATAATTGTTCCATAACGGAAAATTACAATATAAATTGTAAAATAGGATTTAATGTTAGTTCTTATTTATAAATATAATATTTAATGAAGAGGTTAGAGACAAGTATTTGATAATATTATGTTCCACAAGTATTATATTAGATATTACTATATTATTATTATTATTTGTTAATATCTATTTAATTTACTATCATATATTATAATTTAATATTAGATTAAATATGCTATGAATTTGATAACACAATGGTCTACTCATATTATATTTGACATATTATAATTTTTTTAAAGTCATATAAAAAGTATTGCTATTATTATTACTAGGTGGAATGCACGTGCACTGCACGTGGTCAAATGTCATAATTATTTACATTAAGTTTATTTATTTACTATAACATGGTTGCATTAAACTTTATAATTATCATGATGTATTTAATTCCTTTGGATATTTTCAAGCGTGGTTTTAACATTTTATGGTTTTAATATTTTGTCTCCCATAGAAATAGTAATGTTTAAAGCCTTAAAATATTAATGATTTAAGATTAATTAATAACTTAAAAGTATAATTTCAAAATATTAATGATGTAAGAGACCAATACTGAAAAACCTATTATTATTAATGAAAAAATAAATTCTTGAATTCATCATAGAAAAATGGTAGGTTTTAACTAGTCATTAAGGATTTTGTTTAGTTATAAAAAAAATCACATCCACATGTTATTTACTTCCACCTATAGTTTATCCAGTGACCGAGTATTATAGATATTCAATAACTTATTTTAAAAAAATTTAAGCTAGAACGTGCAAATTCAATCAAGAAAGAAAATATAAATTATATGATCAATTCCAAAATCTGATGTTGTACTCTTCTTATATCTTCCCAACTACTAATTGATCTATCAAAACAATTATTCTCTAGTTTTAGAAAATCATAAAATATAGTTTGAGAATGATTTATACATATTATGCACTAATATTGATTGTATTTTAACAAAATAATTCATATCTTTCCAATATCAAACAACATCAAAATTTTTAGTTTAAGGACTTAGATGAATACAATATCTGCAATAATATTCATATCCAAGCTAAGAGCTTCATAAATTAACTTATAAGAATGTGAGCAATATAAAATGACAACTTGATTTATTTTGTCAAATAATTTATTATAAATTATGAAAGACAAGGGGAATCAGAAGGATCATATACTCAACCCAAATAAATATTAAATTTCTCTTAGAGATTCTTACAACAAAAAAAATTTCGAGTTGATTTGTACGACAAACTTAAGGACAAATAACCCAAACTAGTTCGTTGAGTGTTAGACTTACTATAAACTCCACTCTTATAAAATTAATGGCACATGTGGCTTAAGTTGTGCTTTTGTTTAAGGGTTAATTTTAGAAAACTCGCCCTCAACTATGGGTCATGTCAATCCCCCATCGCCCCCTCAAACCTATTTTAAAATAAGTAAATCTCCGCCAATTTTTGGGTATTTTATAGATAATCTATCTCAACTTAAAAAATTTTATTTAACCCCTATGGACTTTTCTTACTTAAACCTAACCTCTCAAAACTAGTACCATTGAGTTTTATCTACTATGTGACATGTATTTTACTTGGAGAGACAAAAATATCTATCCATCATAAACGAATTACCTTGGTTTTTGCCATATGAAGTAAAAGAGGTGATATAGAGGAAAAAAAACAGATTTTAAATTTGTTGTGATCCTTTTATTAATGGTTAAGAATTTTTTTTAAATTAAAATCGCTTTCTTCAAGTGGGTATTTTATTCAAATCAAAAATTAAGTAACTATGTATTTTTTTTAAATTAAAATCGCTTTCTTCAAGTGGGTATTTTATTCAAATCAAAAATTAAGTAACTATGTTAAGGAGGTTTGTTGATTGAATTGTAAAAGATTAGGGGAGTTTTATGAGACACACTATAGTTGAGAGGTGTTTTCTAAAGTTGCACCAAAATTGAGAGGGGTTATCTATAACACCCCCCATAATAATAGATTTTTTTATCAAACTGAATCAATTGAGTGAGTTTTTTTAAGACAATCCCCATAATTGGGAGGAGTTTTAAAAAATTAGCTCTTCTTTTAAACATGGCTTATTTGTAATTTGTCTCACAAAATTTTAATAATTTAATATTAGTCCTAAAATTATGAGCAATTTCAAAATTTTGTGGGAATAACATATAATCATTGGATATTTTAAAATCAAGGAACTAATATCTAAAAACATTACATATTTGCTTTTATAGGCATGCTATTGCTATATCGGCCAATATATCGCTATCGGCCAATATATCGGTGTTAAAGACTTTATCTCAGTAATATTTTATGTTATTTTCTTTTGTTTGGTTATTGTTTTTGATATATCGACCGTATTGAAATTATGTCTGATATATCCCTTTGAAGATCTCAAGAAAATCATGTTATTTTTAATTTGATTGTTGGCTTAGGTCCGAATTGTGTTTAGGAAACAAAATCGGAACCCACAATACCCACAAAGGCCACAGTTCTTCTCCCAAATCTCTCCACTCTCGGCTCTCCCAAATCTTAAGCATATATCTTGATGCAATTTCTTATGTTTAAAATTTATTAATATGTTAGATTATATATTACAATGTCATGTTACGTATGAATATTATCTTGTATGACATCTAGTATTACATACATATACCTAATTTTTGCAATCTAATACCATGGATTTTATTTATTCAATATTTATTTGATGTTCATTATTTTGTAGTTGTCCATCAAAAGCCACTTCTAAAGTTTTCTAAGCGAAGTATATACTTTCAGGAAATAATTCAAAATCTTAAGACTCATTCAAAATACGATGTTTTAATTTTTCCACATCTTCTCTAATATATAAATATAATCTAAGCATCTGACCTCATATTGTATGACGAATATTATTTATCAATAAGATCATATACTATTGTTTGTGGATAACAAATGTTTCAAATCTTTTATAGGCGAATATTATTTATCAATAAGATCATATACTATTGTTTGTGGATAACAAATGTTTCAAATCTTTTATAGGCTTAACTGAAATTAAATACCTTATAGATACTATTGTTTGTGGATAACAAATGTTTCAAATCTTTTATAGGCTTAACTGAAATTAAATACCTTATAGTTTACCAAAAGTATACTTATATATCTCCACTTGTATCTTGCTTCACTTTTTTTTTTTAATTTTTGATGACGTATCTTGCTACACTTAATTATCCTAATTTTTTCTAAAATTTAATATTTGTACTTCTGTCCTGTTACCTAAACATAAAAATGCTATTTGTAATTTTCCTATATGAGTTTCGTGGTATAATTTTAGGATTAAGAATAGGGGTAATATAGTCTTTTGAAAGTTTTTTCACAACTCCTTTTAAAAATGGAGTACATGATATGATGATATGATTAATAAATATGTCATGAATTTGATAACGTTACGGTAATTCAAGGTCCGTCTTCCAAATCCATACCAGAACCAGGATCCGAACACAAATGCAAACCCGAAATCCCAAATGCAACTCCCAAGTCTTTTCCCACTTCGTGTTCAAATGTCAGGTTTTCCCCTCTTTGCAGTTACACAACCGTTGCCTCTAACAATTCATCAACTACCCAGTTTTCCCCCGCTTCAAATTCTTTTTTGTGTACACGAGTCATGGCTGACCCTTTGCTTCCTTCATTATCCTTCCCTTTAAAACTCCCTTCCTATCTCTAACTCTAGCTCTAACTCTCTTTCTCTCTCTAACCGTTGCAGTTTCTTTAAAGAACCCAAACATCAGAACTCAATACACAACAAGAGCCACGCTCCCCCTCCCCCCACATTTAATGCCACCATCGTCTCTTTTCGTTTTCAATATTTTTTAGTAACTTATAAGCTTTTATAACTCCAATTATATAACTTCAACACATTAAATAAACCCACCAATGAGAAGCAAGCATAATCCATGGACGACTCCTCTGCTCTCCTGCTTCATCTTCTCCTTCTCATTTCTCTCTGCGGTATTTCAATAGGATCCAAATTCATTACATGGGATGACCTGAGCCTCGATGATTGGCCTGGTAAATCGAATTTCAATGATGGGTTGAATAGTAGAACTCGGGTTATATCTGTTAGCAGAGATGGGAAGAGTGACTCAACAACTGTGCAGGGGGCGGTGGATATGGTACCAGATGGTAATACACAGAGGGTGAAGATCTTCATACATCCAGGAATTTACAGGTATCCTTTTCTTCTGATTTTATTGGAAATCGGCTGAATTCTTATACTAAAACGAAATTTCGGCAGGGAGAAAGTGACCATTCCAATCACAAAGCCTTACCTTTCGTTCATTGGCAACGGGAAATCCAGAACGACGATCTCATGGCATCTGAAAGCGTCTGATACAGATGCTCATGGACAGGTTATCGGGACCATGTATTCTGCTTCTGTAACTGTGGAGGCTGATTATTTCTGCGCACATGGAATCGCTTTCGAAGTAAGCTATGGATAGATTTATTTCAACAGAGAGTAATTTGGTCAAATATTAAAATACATTTATGTGCGTTTGCATGATATTACAGAATACGGCTGCAGCACAAGCAGAACCAGGAGCCAAGGGGATGCAAGCAGTAGCATTGAGACTATCAGGCGACAAGGCTATGCTATACCATTGCAAGATACTCGGATCACAAGATACTCTATTTGATCATATGGGAAGGCATTATTTCCTTCGATCCTACATTCGAGGATCCATAGATTTCATATTTGGAAATGCAAAATCCTTGTACGAGGTGCAGATTTTTAATATTTTGAATCTTCTTTCTATTTTAATAGGTTTGTATGTCATGTATTTGTTATTCTTATAAAGTAGGGATGCACACTTCACGCGAATGCGGCCAGCTATGGAGCAATCACAGCATCTCAGAGGAAGTCAAATTCAGAAGATTCGGGGTTTTCTTTCGTAAAATGTAAGCTGAAAGGAACTGGAATGCTGTACCTTGGACGAGCATGGGGGCGATACGCAAGAGTGGTTTATTCCTACTGTAAATTCCCCGATATCATCATCCCTGAAGGCTGGAATGACTGGGGAGACCCATCAAGAAGAAGGTACATAAGCATTTTCGCATTCCAATATTCAATAAGCTACAAGAACAAGATCAAGTTGTGAAATTTTCTTTATGGGTTCTTTGTTGCAGTTCTGTTTGGTTTGGAGAGTTCAACTGCACCGGAGAGGGAGCAAAATCGAGAGATAGAGTACAGTGGTCAAGGTCACTAAATTATGATGAAGCGAGGCCTTTCTTAGATCAGTATTACATCAATGGAGAGGAATGGCTAAGACTGTAGTTCTGCTTTTGTAGATAATTTACACATTCTATTTTTCTGGATATTGAAGTACCTATGTCAGATGAAGCAATGATGCTTGCCCACTGAAGGAATGTTAATCATGATTCGTTTGTTAAATATTACCATCAGATATACGTTATAAACATTTTGTTTGGGTGAAGGCGATAATGTGAAGAAAGAAAACTTTGTGCACGTTTGACTTTCGGATCAATGACGGCTTTATATAGAAGGAAATAAGTATACATATGGAGATATGTTCCAGTTTGGGACACCAAAGGGATTGCAATTCGGAACTGCCGCACGAATTATTATCGTTACGGGTCTGAAAAGTAATTTACAATAAACTTATGGTTTCATTATAAGGATTAGAAAGCTAAAGATGAAGATGAAGTTACAGATATTAACGATTAATAATGTTACTAAGTAAATTAAACAGACTTAAAAGATCAAATTGCTAATAGAGACTTAATTGAAGATATAAACTTAGTTACCGGTATAATTTTATGTGGGTATAGAAAATTACTATTTTATGAGGGCATAGAAAATTACTATTTTAGATTCATCATCTAGAAAGAGGAACAATCTGTTATATCATGCAAATAGTAAAGTGTTAATCTCTAAATGAAGAGCCGACACGTGTCCCACCCTATACCTAATTAGCCATACTCAAAGAGGGATGACTCGAGCAACTTCAACGATCCACCTCACTAGGCCAAGAACTTGCGAGGACGACTAAAAAGACCGTATTTATCGGCCTCTGGTGATACGAATCGGAAGGTGGTGTATTCTCAATCCCCCCGTTGACAATCAATTGCTATCACATTAAATGCATGATCAGAGTCATTATTTCTCTAGCCTCAAAAATCGTCATGACTCATCAGACCTTGTAAGCACTATACACATTTTGTCACCCCTCACATTAAACGCGTGGGTGACTCACCCCCCTCTGCAGCCGACACCTATAATGTAAATGTCAACGGAGCCGCTTGCTTAGACTCGGCTGAAATAACTCATCTGTCCCATTGGATCTATTATAAAATAAAAGCGTTGTCGGCTACTTGGGGTAAGAGAATTCTGGAGAAAAAACCCTTATACACTTGAACTCTTCTTCCTCACTCAAGCTCTAATTGATCTGACCGTCGAGGGAACCACCGGAGATCCTAACTCCGACCTTTTATGTATTCTTCATGTGAAGGACAGGACTATCAGCTCAAGAACCAACCATATGAGGAAGCCTGAGGACCCTATTACCCCTCATAATCCACAAATAAAGCCCCTAGTAGATAACTAACATCAATAGTTTGGCGCCTATTGTGGGGCCCTTCATCATTCTTCATACAAAATGGCTGGTTCTGATCGCCCAGGCCGATCCTTCAACCCATCCGCTGAATAAACACATACGGGCTATGTCACTCAAGCCCAGTTAGAAGAATCTACTCGTAGAATTTCTCAATCTCTCCAGCATCAGTTTGCCTCCTTCACCAACTAGCTTCTCAACTGGATTCCTCTCTAGCAATCCTCTACATCATTCATTCCTCCTCCGCCAGTTAGCCATTCATCCTCCTCTCCCTGTGCTCGAATAACGAGTCAAGAGGACCATGCTGAATACACATCTCCCCCATTTTGCCAGTAGACTCGCTTCGCAGCTCCTCCTCGACCACCTTAGTCTTACATGGAGGTGACGGAGCGGAGCCCTAGCTTCAGTCATGATGGTCGAGAGCGCATCGCAGGGGCAGAATCACGCAGCCCCGACATCTGTATGTTACTCCAAGTTCTTCTGACACTAATCCTACACCTGGTTATGATCAGACCATCAACACAGTGTCGAGATCATCAGGGGAACACTCCTCTTTCTGATTAGATCATGAACGCCTATAACAAATTTAAGATGCCTCACATTGAAAACCATATGGACAAGGTAGATCCGGCGAAGCATGCTCAAAATTTTTATCATATGATGAGCATGCAGCAAGTGTTGGAGCTGATCATCTATAGATCCTTCCATCTCACCTTGACGGGAAGCGCCAAGTTGTCATGAAACTCACTAAACAAAAAGTCCATCAATAGCTTCAAGCAACTCAACCAAAAGTTTACGCATCAGTTCTTGGCCGACACAAAACAAAAGTTTCCCTCCCATGTCTTGTTACAAATGAGAGAGGAACTTAGAGAGAGCCTCAAGAACTATTGCAAGAGGTTCAAAGACAAGAGGCTAGAAGTCGACAATCCTAGCAACATAGTCGCTATGGCCACGATATCAGCTAGGCTAGATAGCAAAGAGTTGGCCGACTCACTCATTAGGAAATGAGTCACCAACTATGAGTAGTTAATGTCCAAAACACATGGGTACATGGATGCAGAAGACACTCGACATGGATGCAGAAGACACTCGAGCCTATAATAAGGCGGTCAGGAAAACAGTAGCAATAATGATAGCAACACTCACAGTCGGGGCTAACCGCTCTCCAAAAGAAGAGACAGTAAAGGATCCCCCCAGAACCGACTCTAGGACGAGCAGAGCCGACAAGAGGGACTAGAGGAGGGAGACAGCCAAATGGCCGGTCCTCACTACCCTCAACACTTCCTTATGACAAGCCCTCTACATGGTCCAGAAGGGGGGATACTTGAACAGCACTCCTCCCCACATGAAGTCGGACCTAAGGTACTGAGACCCAAAGCAATATTGCCGGTACTATAGATTTCGCGGTCATCACACCAATGACTGTCGAGTCCTCCAGAGAGATATTGAGGACCTAATTTAGAAAGGATTCTTGAGAAAGCTCATATCTCAGCAAGACAAAAGAGAAACAGTTCTAGAGAGATCCCACAGAAGGTCCCGCTCCAGATTGCCTCATCCCATGTAGAAGCCGAACAAATAGCCTATAGAAACTATAATGACCATGAATTTTTAAATGCTAGTTAAAATAAATTTTCTAGTATTTTAAAATATTCAATTATTATTTTTAAAAAGAGTATTTGTACTTTCTCGATTTTCTAGAATTTTTTATGATTTAAAAATCCAGATTATATTATTTTTATGATTTTACTATTATAAATTAAATTGTTAAACTAAAACTTGATTATTTATTACTGTTATTATTATTGTTAATGACTATCTTATATTGATTTTTTTGCCTTTTCCTTTCTCTCGTATTTTTTCGGTATTGATTCCTTAAATTTTAGTGTATTTTCTTTAAACCCTAACGCCGTTTGCTTCTCTGCGATCACCATCAAAGTCTCTTCAGGAATCCCCTGGTAGATGGCCGCCAACGCCATCTGATCCTTCCTGTGTTCCACGGACGCGCCTGCCGCGGGCTCAATGGCATCCCACACGTCTTGAGCCTTCATGTAGACTTTCATCTTGATCGCCCACGAAGCATAGTTGTCCCTCGATAACGTCGGGTATTGAAGAGTGAGCGAACCCACCTTGGTCGTCATCTTCTCCGAACTCGTCATCTCTTCAGATCTTGGTTGGTACTTAGGCATACACCGGCTCTGATACCACTTGTTGGCTTTTGAAATAGGATCGGCCTAAAGTATCAAACCTGCAGGAATTTCCAGCGGTCTCTGTTTTGTTGATGAACACAAAAATCTGTGAACAGTGAGATGACCGGACTTTGAGAGAACCAAAACTTCCCTGGCTGATTATTTTAAGAAGCCGAACAACACCTGTTTGCAAATAGCCGAACAACAACAGAGAGAGGAAAAGAGAACAGAGAGGTTTTATTTTCGGTGGAGAAATTCTGATATTCTCTTATTTTCGTTATACTAAACTCAACAATTGTTTACATATATATATAGGATTAAGATTGCAATTCTAATCTTATCCAATAACTAGAAACCTATCTACTAACTAGTATTCTACTCTAATTAGAATTCTACTAACTAACAATCCTTGGACTGATTACAACTCACATTCTCCCCCTTAATCTGGACGAGATTCCAAGTCCCTTACTCCTAGAAGCTCCCGCATCTCGATGAACTTCACCCTTGCTAGTGCCTTCGTGAGAATATCCGCTCGCTGCTCGCTCGTGCTCACGAACTCCACTTTAATTTGTCCTCGCTCAACACACTCTCGAATGAAGTGAAAGCGTGTGTCGATATGCTTGCTTCTTCCATGGAAAACTGGATCTTCATCAAGGCAATCGCGGATTTGTTGTCAACGAAGAGTGTGACCGGCTTGGGCTCACTCCCAATCACCTCGCTGATTAAACTCCTCAACCACAAGCCTTGGCACGCTGCTGCAGTTGCCGCCATAAATTCTGCCTCGCAGGATGATAATGCCACCGTCTTCTGCTTCTGTGATGTCCAAGTGACCAAACTGTCACCTAGATAAAATGCCATGCCGCCTGTGCTGCGCCTATCATCAACATCTCCCGCAAGATCACTGTCAGTGAATCCCACCAACTCTTCATTGCCTCGACCTCGTTTGTACACCAATCCGTAGGACATAGTACCCTTCACGTACCTCAAAATATGCTTGACAACCTGTCGATGCAAAACTGTAGGGTGCTCCATGTACCTACTCACAATCCCCACGGCATATGTGATATCGAGTCGGGTGTGAGTTAGATACCTCAAAGATCCGATAATGCGTCTATACTCCGTCACGTCCATCGGTGCTCCATTCCCACTCTTTTCCTTCCTCAAACGCGACATCCCTGCTGACACGTATCTTGTTATGTTGAGGGTCGTATAGGCGATGCGCTTTGCTTCCTTCCTCTACCCCAATATACACCATTGGCATGCTCCGATCGTCGAGTTTCTTGTGAGAAGGGCCTGCAATCTTCACATGCGCCATACATCCAAAAACTCTCAAGTGTTCTAGGTGGGGTTTCTTACCAAACCAAGCTTCGTAGGGTGTGTGGTCGTGCAACGCCTTGGTTGGTAGTCGGTTGAGGATGTACACCGCGTGCCTAACCGCTTCGCCCCACATGGTTCCAGGCATATGCATGCTCTTAAGTAGGCTCCTCGCCATGTCCATCACCGTGCGATTACGCCTCTCCACTACACCGTTTTGCTGCGGGGCGTACGGTGCAGTGAGATGACGTTTGATGCCGTAGTCTTCACACAGTTTTGTGAATTCCTTCGACAAGAATTCGCCACCACGATCCGTCCTCAATGTCTTCACCTTGTGGTCACATGCAT